CAATTTGTGCTCATGGAACGTATGTTTGGTCCCGATATTGCATGGCTGCAGCAGTGTATTCACTAGTGCCACACCCATGAGTTTGGACAGTTTACCAGCGGAATCCACGACGGTTTTGTGGCTTACCGGGGCCCAAAGTTGCAGCAATTCGGCGCCTGCAAAGGCCAGCGCTGTGTCCACACTGGCCAGAGCGTCCACTAGTGTCTCCCCAAGTATTGTATTCTCCTCTATTCGTCCCTGATGTCTCCTAGTGGCCCTCTCCAGTGCTTTCATCACCAGATAAAGCGCCTGGACGAAGAAATCGGATCTCGGAACGTGTTCCGGAAGGTCCTCGAAGGCCTCACTCGTCCATAGACTGTTATCAACGACTCTGGGCTCTCGAGTCGGTGATTTCTCTTGTGTGCGAGGACTCAGACGCCACAAACTGCGGGGTGTGGGCTCCTCTGTGTATCTGTGGGTCGATGTGACGGCCTCCTGTTGCTGTACGAGCGCAATACTCTGCCTCTGAACCGCTTTCCACCACTCGGCGGCGTCTACTGCTACCGTTTCGCCCGCTGAGAACTGTAATGAGGGAGACAACGTGTGTACATCCAGTAATTGTGCCACCAACCGCGTCAAAGTGTCCAGAAGCTGGAGATAAGAGGAGGCGTCCTGGTGCGCCACGGAGAGCGGGAGAGCAGGAGATGCGCACTGCGAGATGGAGAAGGATGAGCTCGATGACTCGGAGAACGCATGGACGTCGTCCTCTGAGCCTCCTTGAGTGCGAGCGCACACGAACATGGCGACGATCTCGAAGTGGCGGCTGGAGGTTGGTTGAGTAAGTGACCTACCTGCGTTGGAGCAACATTTTCAATTGACTTGAAAATTGTAAGAGAGTCCTACGGACAACATCAGGCTGAGGATGATTGGCCAAAATTGAAATTGTTCGCCCAGCGAAAAGTTGCGTTTCAACTTCAGTTTTATGACGCCGATTTATTTTTTGCTTTCCCTTTGAGACCACCACTCCGCTCGCTCTGTCCGAGAAATATTTCCTGGAGCGACCACTACTGAGCTTAAATTGCCCACAGCTTCGCAACTGACAGTACGAATTACCGGTGCAGGCCATTGTACAAGTTTTTTTTCTTTCTAATGGATAGCCACCGAGTCACTGGTGAGAGGTGACTGCAGTTTAGCTGCACGAAGTATAGTGGTTCGTGAACGCTGCCAGCACTACTCGAGCGCAGTACGTAGTCCAGTCTCCAGTTCACATCCACTACGTGGGCGAAGTCAAAGCCTACATTGTATCAAGTTTGTCAGATTTTTTCAGCTTGGACTCATGTCAATTTGCAACGTACTGGTATTTTGTAGAACACGCTCCACACTTGGCACCACCGAAGCCAACACTGGTATGAGTTTCATCTGCAAGTCCTCGTCTTCCACACCAAGAGTGTAGAGCTGTTGCCTACGTGCACTGGTTCAACGTTAGTATCAAATTAGAGAGACTACGGTCATTTGCGTCGTTATTTCGATTCATACCGTTGATCCACCGGTGTTCGTACCCCTCCGTCTCTAGCTAGAGTCACGACGATGGCAGACATGGCTGCCAAGGCCTCGTTGTCGACCGATATCTGTTGTTCGGTGTATGTGTTACCGGAACAAGAGTTTCCAATCAATTCAGCGGCTGCAGCGCTCGCCAAAGCCTGGAGAGACGCGGCGGAAAGAGAGGAGAGATGTTCCAGAGCACGGTGAGGCACTACACGCGTGTCGGCGTCCAAGAAGGCTGCTGTGTCGCTAGCGAAGCCACCTGCCATTTCTGATTAGACGAAGAGGATTTGGATATTATCCAAAAGAATGATGATAATGCATCTCATAATTGATATCCTCAGAGCGTACCTACGCTTTACGTCAAAGTCACCAAATGTAAAAAAAAATACTACAGTAGTAAATCAGCGGTCGAATTATTTGACTTATTATTTGACTCGAATACCCAGTTCGCTGGAGTCGCGAACTTCCAGTGCCGAGGAAATTTCGACACTTCTAAAGCCCCTCTCCTTTATGCTACCGCAACTCTAGCGTTAATATTTGGATGGAGCTTGAAAACTGTGTGCAGATATGCAGCGTACGATGTAGGACGCGGTGGCGCGACCGCCACGGCCTGACGTCGCCTTCGACATTGAGCATCTGAAGGGTGGCGAATGGCAACACGAGCAAGTGAGCGAAGGTTGAGCGCCACCACCTCGTCTACTCATCCTCTGGCCACCATACACTTCCCGTTGATCGAGAATTGAAGATCCGCTGACATTTCT